CGTTCCTGGCCCTGGAGGATTATTCGGAGGGGTCTCTGGTGATTGTATTCACTGAGTGCTCTGATATTTAAGGTTACCGTACCTTGAACTTTTCCTTTGGCCACGTGCTCTTGCTTTTTGTTACAGAACTTGCCCCCAACCACTGCAGGCCTCCAAATCCATTTCTGCACTGGCTCCAGCCACATTTACCATCCTCTGTCCTGCTCTGGAGCACATTGGAGCTGGGCTTTCCTCCTGCCTCCTGGGTCTAAGAACCCCATGGCCAGGAGGAGCAGAGACACTGCCAGGGCTCCCTGGTGGAGCGGGGAAGGATCGGGGCTCTTCCGGGGCACAGGGGTCCCCAGAGATGGACTGGGGTGTTGCAGGCAGTTTTGAAGGGGTCAGGAGAGGCTCAGAGTGGGTTGGAGGGGGTCTGGATGCCGGCAATCACAAATCTCCCCACTGGAGGAGAGCAGAGCCTGACAGGCCACGCTCAGAGTGGGGGAACAGCTCCATCTGGGAAAGCTGTGGGATGTGATAGGATGGGGTGAGGATGGGGAGTGGGGTGGGATGGGGATGGGGATGGGGAGCAGGGATGACGATGGGATCAGGATAGGAGGAGGAAGCAGCTCAACTGTGCTTCCTTGGGACCAGAGCATGTTTTTGCAATGATCTCAGAGCCCTTCCCGGAACAGGAGTTGTTTCTGAGAAGCACCCAGCTGCCTCACCCACACTGCTAGCACTGCCAGCAGCATTTCTGTGCCACCGGCACCACCAGCTGGTGCTGCAGGGACAATGACCCCTCAGGCAAGAGAAACGAGGAATGATAAAACCCTGTCAGGTGAGGGAAGGCAGATGCACAATGGGACACTCTGCAGGGAAGAGTGTTTTTCAGCAAGAGGGAATGAGGACACAATCACAAAAAATTTCATTTAGAGCTTCTGAGAAAAGCTACTTCCTCTGAAGACAAAAAAAAAAAAATAAAAAGAAACCAAAAACCACATACATGATAAATGACTCAGACGAACTGAATTTCTGAAGCAGGTAAAGTTACAATTTTTGACTTCCCCACTCCCATGTGATTCAACCAAGCCTTGGGGAGCAACACCAGGACAGGGCACAGAGAGGAGCCAGCAGGACGGGAATGGGGAGCTCCTGGTGAGCTGGGCACTTTTTCCTTCATGTCCCTGACCTGGCAGGAGCCGCTTTAGGACATGGATCCCAAAGGAGCAAGAGGCACCAGGAAGCGCCGCTGATCTGCACAGACCCCTTTGCCTGCTGCTGCCCCACAGGGAACAGGTCAGTGGAATGTTTGCCTTCCTCCCTATCCCACCTTCCTCTCCTCCAGCAGCTGCTCTGTTCCTGACACCCTCTCCTGGTGACAGCTGGGCCCTCCCAAGCCACCCCTTCCCTGCCCTGTGCATTCCATCTGTCATTGAATCAGCTGAAATAAACTTTCTAACACAATGGGAAGCATTGGGAAGCATTAGGAAGCAGGAATTCCCTACCTGCACAGAAGGTTCTCTCCCTGATGTCTGTGCCGTGAGATTTTACAACAGGGGTTTTATCCATCGTAACCACACACAGTCATTAATGTGTTTGCTATCTATTACATAAACATCACATTCCTAGTACCCATTCAAAGGCATCCACCTCCTTCTCCAAGTCCTTCCCTGATCCTGGAGGATCGTTCAGAGGGTGTCTCTGGTGGCTGTATTCTCTGAGACATTAAAGTGACCTTGCCTTGAACTTTTCCTTTGGCCATGTGCTCTTGCTTTTTGTTACAGAACTTGCCCCAGAACCACTGCAGGCCTCCAAATCTGTTTCTGCACTGGCTACAGCCACGTTTATCATCCTGTGTGATCCTGAGGAGCACATTGGAGCTGGGCTTTCCTCCTCCCTCCTGGGTCCTAGAACCCTATGGCCAGGATGAGCAGGGACACTGCAGAGGGTCCCAGAAGGATCATGGCAGGATCAGGGCTGTTGGGGGTGAAAAGGGGGCCCCAGGGATGGTGTGTGCTGTTCGAGGCGGTTTTGGAGGGGTCAGGAGAGGTTCGGAGCGGGTTGGAGGGGGGCTGCATGCCGACAACCCCAAATCTCCCCACCGGAGGAGAGCAGAGCCTGACAGGCCACGCTCCGAGTGCAGAACGGCTTCGTCTGGGAAACCTGTGGGATGTGATAGGATGGGGTGAGAATGGAGAGCGGGGATGAGGATGGGATCGGGATAGGAGCAAGCCACTCAGCTGTGCTTCCTCAGCCCAGAGCATGTTTTTGCAATGATCTCAGAGCCCTTTCCGGAACAGGAGTTGTTTATGACAAGCACGCAGCTGCCTCAGCAGCACTGCCTGCACTGCCAGTGCCACCAGCACCACCAGAATCCCTCTGCTGCTGGAGGGACAATGACCCCTTGGGGAAGAGAAATGAGGAATGGTAGGAACCTATCTAGAGACGGAAGGCAATTGGAGAATGGGACACTCTGCAGAGATGGAGTGTTTCTCATCAGGAGAGAAAGAGGAGCCAATCACAAAAATTCATTTAGAGCATCTGAAAAAACCCACATCCGCTGTAGGAAAAAAAATATACCAAAAAAAACCCACACCCAACATAAATACCTCAGAGGAACTCAATTTCTGAAGTAGGCAAAGTTGCAATTTTTGATTACCCCACTCCCCCCATGACTGCGCCAAGCCTTGGGGAGCAACAACAGGACAAGGCACAGAGAGGAGCCAGCAGGACAGCAATGGGGAGCTCCTGGTGACCTGGGCACTTTCTCCTTCATGTCCCTGACCTGGCAGGAGCTGCTTTAGGACATGGATCCCAAAGGAGCAAGAGGGACCAGGAAGCGCCGCTGATCTGCACAGAGCCCTTTGCCTGCTGCTGCCCCACAGGGAACAGGTCAGTGGAATGTTTGCCTTCCTCCCTCCCCCACCTTCCTCTCCTGCAGCAGCTGCTCTGTTCCTGACACCCTCTCCCGGTGACCGCAGTGTCCTCCTCATCTCCTCTCTCTCCTCCTGTGCATCCCATCTGCATCCTAATACTGAAATGGGCCAGAACAAACTTTATGACACAGTTCAAAGCATGAGCAATCATTGACCTGCACAGGACACAGAGGGATCTCTCCTTGTGTGGTGTGTATGGTGAGACTTTACAACGGGGTATTAATCCATTAGTGTCCCGTTCCTCGGCTGTTCTAATGGCCTGGAAAGGGTCTGGATGGCTTTGGGGCAGCCCGCGCTCCAAAGGACCAAAGGAGTCTTCAGGTTTTTCAGTTCTTCGGTGTTGTTTATTAATTCTTATCTACAATATTTTCTCCCGGCCCGACAGAGTTCCCCACAGCAAGCCAGCCATGAGCACACTGACTGCCCTCAGGGCGGTCACATATCTTTATACCAAAAACTACGTGGCAGATATTTACCTTTTCTCCCCAGTACCTTTCACCCTTATTGACAAGTGCACATTCAGTAAGAATCAATCTCAAAGTGCCACCATCACCACCAAAGATGGATGACAAGAAGAAGAAGAAGGAGGACAGGACACACCCTAATTCCTCCATCTTGTCCCCGAGAACCCCCCTGTACCGAGATTCTAAAACCTGTGTTTTCACTCTATAATTAATCTATCCCTTCACCATTTATCCCCGTGTGATCCTCCCATCCTCATACAGGTGTTGCTTCCTGTGCAGGATCAAAGTCCAACCACCAAACACTTCTGGCAACGTTCCAGGACTTCCGAGTCCCCCAAGGGTTGTCTCGGTGACTCTGCACATCAGGAATGCTGTGCTGAGTTCCCACACATTAGAACCAGATGTAGGCAGTAATAAGTTTTTTTTTTATCCAATACACAAACACCATTTTCCTAGAATTCATTTCCATGCATCCACCTCCTCCTGGAAGCCCTTTTATGATCCTGGAGGTTTATTAAGAGGGGTCTCTCTGGTGGTCATATTCAATGCATGCTGCCATATTAAAGGTGCCCTTGCCTTGAACTTTTCCTCTGGCCAAGCACTGTTGTTTCTTCCTCCAGAATTTGCCCCAAAATCACTGCAGCTCTACTGATCTGTTTCTCCACGGGTTCCTGCCATGTTTGCCATCCTGTGTGCCAGCCTTTACATCCTGTGAGAAACAACCACCCACTTTTTAAAATTTCTAAAGGTTTAATAAACCTTAACAAAAAATGTGACAAAAGGAGTAAATAGGGACAAGCAGGCCTGGGAGCTTCCCTCATGGCTGCCCACCACGTGGCTGGCTGATCTTCAGGATGGAGGCTTCACATTTGATACCCTGGGGGTTGCATCAGCTAAACCTGGCCCCTCCCAAAGTCTGTCAGTCAGCCCTTCTTTGTGTTTATTGCTGGAGCCTGCTTTCCTGCAGCTTGACTGGAGAGTCAGGTGTCCTCATGCTGCACCTCTACCTCCCCAGCAACAAGCTTTTGTACAGCCCTTCTTTCCACCTGTCCTAGATGACTCAGGCTCTCTGATGGCAACAGTACAGAGGGGAGACAAGGGGACTCTAGGGACAACAGGGGACATCTAAACAACAGACTGCAATAATAATAATTATATATCAATAAAGCTTCTCTTAATATTCACAAAGTATTCATCCCTTAACTGTGAGAGCCAATCATCCCATTATCCATCTATAACACATTGTTTTAATTTCGGCAACTTTCCTTTTAAAAAAATTCAGAAGAACTGAAAATGTTTATTTTCTGTGTTATTTATCAGCCTCCTGTCAAACAGCCCAACCCTCCCACCTCCCTCTCACACCCCACAATTTCCACTGCCCTCCTCCCCTGCACATCTCACTCCTCCCCACTGAATCCTTCCCACTGCAGGGCGCTGCTGAGGAGCCACATGCTCCATCCCTGGATTCTCCAAGCACTCACTGCCCATCCACTCTGACCACAGCCAGGGGCCACATCCCACTGCCTGCCCAGCATCCATCCAGGGGATGAACATCGTGTCCCCCCCTGCCAACTAATCCACTGAAGGGCAACATCTATGTGAAACAGATGTCCCCAGCATGGCCACACACAGTGTGACACTGCTCATCTGCCTCTGTGGGCTGGCTGGGAACGGGGCTGTGCTCTGGATCCTCGGGTTCCGCATCCACAGGGACACCATGAAACCCATCACTGCCTACATCCTTGTCCTGGCCATCATCAACTTCCTCTTCCTCATCTTCATGGTCCCCTCCGCTCTGCTCTTCCGGCTGAAGGATTTCTCCTGCTCCTCCATCATGCCCCCAGCATCCATACGCTTCCTTTTCCTCCTCTTCCCGATGTTCCACAGCGTAGGGCTGTACCGGCTGACGGCCATCAGCATCGAGAGGGGCAGGTCCATGCTCTGCCCACCTGGGCTCTTCTGCCACCTTCCCCAGGACCTCTCATGGGTGGTGGTCAGTGCCACGCTCCGGGCCCTTTCCATCACTGCCATCGCTGCCATTTCTGCAGTGAATTCCCTGTGCCAGTCACAGGAACACAAGCTCTGCCAGGGAGCTCTCATCTCCCTGTACATCCTCAACTTCCTCGTCTTTGCTCCATCCATGGTCATTTCCAGCACAATCCTCTTCATTCACTTCAAGGGTAGCTCCCAGCAGCAGCAATCCAAGAGCCTTGACATCATTGACTTCCTGGCTGTGCTCCTCACTCTCCCCCTCAGTCTCTGGAATTTCCTGCAGCAGCTCGGCTACACCACTGTGTCCCCCCAGGTTGTTCTCCTGGTTGCCTGCATGCACAGCAGCATCAACCCCCTCATCTACATCTCAGTAACAAAGTGCTGGAGGCGCTGCTCCATGGGGTCCCTCAGGGAGTGCCTCCAGAAGGTGTTTGAGGAGCCAGAAGGGAGCAGTGCCCCCAGTAATGATGCCACCACGGACAGGGGGTCTGAGCCTGCTGAACCCCTCAAGTGCCCCCATGCAGGACCATGGGGCAGTGACTCAGGATCACCCTCCCACCCTTATTCCTGCAGGGAAAGGGAGCAGAGGCAGTGAAAAGGGCTATGTGGGAGGGATGCTCTGCACAGAGCACATTGGAGCATGGATTTGCTCCTCCCTCACAGGTCCTGGAGCACTTTTCCCCAAATAGATCCTTCCCAACATGGCTGTGACCCCAGAATTCCCCCTGGCCCCTGGTTCCTGCATCCCACTGAGGTCTGATATCAATAAACAGCACCGTGAACCCTGAGCTGCCTTTGCCCCCTCTGCCAGCGCTTCCCGGCTTCCTCTGGCTGCTGCTGCCAGCCGGGAATGTGGCTGGAGGGAGGGGACAGAGAGGTGGTTAGTCAGGAATTCTGTGACTGTTTAGGAATTTCTATAATGAACTATGTTTAATTAGTCAAGGCTTTTTTGACTGTGTTTTTTTAGCTGGTTTTGATTTAGATCTCTGTTGGCTGAGTGCTAGTAGAAAACTTTATCAGCGCATACCCCATAGAGAACTTAATAGGTGGAGAAAAAACTCAATAAAGTATTTTTAACGGTTATCATATAACTAGAAATAATTGGATGTGAAAGAATAAGAACGATATCTTGAGAGGCTTAGTATTTCAGAGGCCTATACATACCAAAAGACATAATTAATAAATTGCAAGACATAAATTGCAATGGCAATAAGAGAGGCATTTCCTAGGCTTGTACATCAAATTTAATAAAATATTGTTTACTGAAAAATACCCCAGGTTATTGATTTAACTAAGATCGATGGCATATTCTAGTACTAATTAAAAGAAACAAAACACCTATACCATGACGTAAGAAACTGGGTCCACATTTGGGAGTATCTATAAAAAGTCTGAGATATTATAATGCATAAAAATGCATGAAATGTGTTGTTTCTGTGAACCTGTCTATGGCATATATATTTCCAATATATTCAAAATTTGGACTAAAAAATTCTTATTAGTCTAACACAATTTTGCTGATAGACTTAAACTTCTTGGTGTCAGAGGGGACACAGCCATGGCTTGTGCTCCCTGCAGCAACCATGATCCCCAGTGCCCAGAGCTGGGCTGGCATGGACATGATGATCCAGGGGCGCAGCATTCCCCACCCCGAGCGCTTTGTGAGTGTCACAGGTAAGATCTCCTCAAAGATATTTATTGTTTAATTTTGTGAGCCAGGTGCAAAGGCTTCTCTGCCTTGAGAAATTCTTCCTCTCCACTGCCTTCAGCTGCTCCCTCAGCAGGCTCAGGTGGTGCAGCAGCAAGGAGAGCAGGAGGACGTGATCCTCAGCACAGCCACCCCCTTCCAGGAGCAGGGTGACACCTGTGTTTGTCACCACGGGCACCACGGGGCATCAACCCCCTCCCTGGGGCTTCCCTGAGGCCACCAGCCCCACCACACCCGACACCTTCTCTCCAGCCCCACCACACCCCACACCTTCCCACCACATCTTCCCAGCAGCTCCATCATGTCCCACCCCTCCCACACCACCCTCCCATCCCACTCCCCATGCAGCCCACCCACCTCCCGTCCTTCCCATCCCTCCCAGCCCCGGGCCTCAGGCTCCAGTCCCTCCCCACGGGCTGCTCACCCCAGCCTGCCCCAGAAGCCTTTGGGGCCGTCTTTCTCTTGGAGATGCCCCTCCCCAGCTCCATCCCTGCTCTCCAGCCCCCCAACCTCCTCTGGACACAAACAAGAGGCACTACAGGGATGGCTCCACTGCTCTTCATTGGGCTGGAGAAGCATGGAATTGCCAGGAGGAGCAGAAACACTGCTGGGGCTCCTGAGTGGGGCAGGAGAGGAGCGGGGCTGTCTGGAGGGGAAGGCAGCCTGGGGGCAATTTCTAGAGGATGTCAGAGGGGGCATGATGCCTTAGGATTTTAGCCTTTTTATTTTTCATATCCTGTACTGCATTAGTGCATAACTCTAAACTCCATGTAAAAGTGTTAGTTAACTGTCTGCACATTTTGGTCAGAGAAAACAATCCCTCTAGGCATGAAGTTCAAGGACACTCTACTGCCTCAGGCTCAGAAAAGTACAGACAAAATTGAATTGAGGGAGGGCCAACTGGGGCTAAATGACTTCATTACCTGAAGCTGAAATTGGAGGATTAACCACAGATTTGTAAATGGATCAAATGTATATCTGTCTGAAAACTCATGGCCATTGTCCATTTTGGGTGCAGCCCCTCTCGGAGGCTTGGAGAGCCCAAGGTGAACCTTTTGAAGGCCTTTCATCAAAGCCTCCTTTTATTCTCTTCACCTGCTCTGGCCTCTGTTCCAGGGAGCCAGCCCAAGGCATCAGGCAGACAGGGGCTGGAGGGGGCAGGAGGGCTCTGGGTGCCACCAATCCCAAATCTGCCACTGGACAGCAGCAGAGCCCAACAGGCCACACCTGCAGCCACGGAGAGGCCAGGGACTGGGAACCCATCGGGATGGGATGGGATGGGATGGGATGGATGAGGAATGATAACAAAATCAGACAGAATAAAGTTGCTAACACACACCAGTGGTGTTACCAAGGGAAGTATTATGCAGCAGGACATGCAGAAGGATCTCTCAATTTTTTTGTGTGTGTTGTGAGACTTTATAACCATGTTTTTATTCACTATAACCATATATAGACATTAAAAAGTTTTTCTTTTCTTAAGAACACTGTGAAAAACGCCAATCACTTGTTTCTAAAATTTTTAAAAGTTTAATAATAATAAAATGGTTTAAAAAATGGTACCACAATTAGAGTAATAACAATTTGGACATATTGAATTAAGACAACATGAGACAATAAAAACAAAGAGTTACGGACATCCGGGTACCTTTTTCTGGTCATCACGAGCCCGAAAAAGGACACTTGTTAACAAAGGATTAACCCTTAAGAACAATAGCCCGTTGCATATTCATACACTTCATGCATGATGTATAAATTCCATTCAAACACAGGATTCCATCTGGTCAGTGTCAGCTTCTTCCTTCTAATCCTAACAGCCCCTCCAAGGCGGAAAGAAGTTAGTTTCTTCTGATAAGAAGGCAATAAATTCCCTTTCTCTGAAAGATTTAGGTGTCCTGTGGCTGCTATCTCGCTGCAAGCCCTTTCTGTTAAACAAAGCATCTTACACAGCATAGTTTCTATTTTAACAATTTTCATAACCGAAAACTGTATTTGACACAGGACTTAAGAGAATTAATACAGCATTACTTTCTAACACAACACATGCAATATTCATTTTAATATTTGCGAAAAGCCAATCATAAAATACATGCATTTTTCACAACACCTTAAAGAAAAACATTAATACCAGTTTCCTAGAACTCCCTTCCATGCATCCACTTCCTACTGGGAGTCCTCTGATGGCAATGGAGATTCATTGAGAGGGGCTTCTAGTGGTTGTATTCACTGAGTGCTCTGATATTAAAGATGACCTTGCCTTGAACTTTTCCTTTGGCCATGTGCTCTTGCTTCTTGTTACAGAACTTGCCCCAAAACTATTGCAGGCCTCCAAATCTGTTTTTGCACTGCCTCCAGCCGCCAGGGTCCACATCTTTACGTATGTTTATCAATTTGCCCAGTTAATCTTTAAGCAACTTCAGGAGAGTTGAAAAAGTTTATTCTCTCTTCTTTATCAATCCCCTGCACAACAGCCCAACCCTCCCACCCTCACTCCCACCCCAGCATTTCCACTGCCCTCTTCCCCTGCACATCTCACTCCTCCCCACTGAATCCTTCCCACTGCAGGGAGCTGCTGAGGAGCCACATGGTCCATCCCTGCATTCTCCAAGAACTGACTGCCCATCCACTCTGACCACAGGCAGGGCCACATCCTACTGCCTGCCCAGCGTCCATCCATGGAGGTGACCACCGTGTCCCCATCTCCTGCCTCACCGACTAAAGGAGATGATCTCTGTGAGACAGATGTCACCGATGTGGCCATACACAGTGCAGCAGTGATCATTGGCCTCTGTGGGCTGGCTGGGAACGGGGCTGTCATCGGCCTCCTCAGCCTGAAAAGCAGGAACGCTGGCATATTTGACCTGGCTGTCATTGACTTCCTCTTCCTCCTCTTTGCAGTACCCTCTGCCCTCTTCATCCTAGTGGAAGATTTGTCTTGCTCTCCCATCCTGCCCATGATGTACATGAACTTCGTTTTCCATCTGTCATTGGTCTCCTACTACTGGGCACTGTTCCGGCTGACACGCAGCAGCCCAGTGCGTTATATGCACAACTTCTGCAAGCTCTGCTGCCACTGCGACCTTCCTCTGCGTCTGGTGTGGGTGGTGGACACTGTCCAATACTGGGCCATCTTTGCTGTCTTCACTGTCCTTCCCACGGTGACATTCCTGTGCCCAACACAGCAGCAGGAGCTCTGCTGGGCAGCTCTTATCCCTGTGTACACCATCACCCTGCTCCTCTTTGCTGTACCTGTGGTCATTTCTCATACAGTTGATTTCATTAAGGCCAAGTGGGGTTCCCAGCAGCAGCAACCCAAGAGGCGTGACATCGTTATCGTCATCATTGTGCTCTTCACTTTGCTCCTTAGTCTCTGCAATTTCCTGCAGCAGCTCGGTTTCACGGTTGTGCCCTCCCAGGTTGTTTTCCTGCTCACCTGCATCTACAGCAGCATCAAACCCTTAATCTACTTCTTGGCAGGGAGGTGCAGGAGGCCCTGCTCTGTGGAGTCCCTCCAGCTCTCCCTCCAGAGGGTCTTTGAGGAGCCAAAAGAAAAAAAAGCCCGCAGAAAGGATAGTGCCATGGACACGGGAGTCTGAGCCTGCTGATCCCTTCCACTGATCTGCTGAAGGACCCGGGGAAAGTGGCTGAGAGATTCCTTAAGTCTCCTTATTACTCAATATCCATGGGATCACCCGCCTCGTCGTGTTGTATTTCTGCAGGAGAAGGGAGCAGGAGCATTGCCTTGGGTGATTTTTGTGGGATGCTCTGCAGGGAGCACATTGGAGCATGGCTTTCCTCCTCCCTCCTGGATCCTCCTCCCTCATGGCTCCAAGCAGTGCAGCTGGGCTCAGTGCCGTTCCCCAGCTCTATTCCCCATGCAATGACCC